ATGCGCCACCCACCTCGAGATATAAATTCTAAGGTCTAAAGTATAGTTGAATATGCAATTTCGAAAAGGGCACATGTCGCATATTTTGTCAAATACGTTTTTCATATACATGTAGTTTTGAGGCTTACCTACGCCCATTTTATAATAATTCCAGTAATTTTCATTTGCTAATTAACACTAAAATATATCTCAAAAGTTAATATTTTAAATTTTACACTGCTTTAGAAAAGAATGAGTTTTTTTTCAGTTCCTGAACATTTTACATTTTCCGAGATGTGCCCTTTCGAAATTGCATATTCAGTTACAATGGCTGCCCACCCTTCAAACCGAAACGCATTACTGCTTCACGGCTGAAATAGGCAGGGTGGTGGTACCTACCCGTGCGGACTCACAAGAGGTCCTACCACCAGTAAATAGATACGTTGTTCAGGCACCAGGTCGGAGTCTTCATTACCGGCTGCCCTGCAAACCGGTTCTTATGACACAGCATCTGTCACAGGTTCCTCGTGACGATTCGTTGTGTGTTTCAGCAGGTCTGAGTTACATCACCCAGAATCTACCGAGCAATATGATGCAGAAGACTATAATAATCGTTCAGGGTCCAGCCGGGGGTGGACCGCTGACGCTCACGGTAAGCTTGAAACACATTAGCATGATCAGTTATTAAGGTCAGCAAAAATGTAATAAGTACAAAACAAAACTTTTTAATTATGTACGTTTGTATATAATAATGACACGAGATGATAAAATTCATGTGGAATTAAATATGCTTCACATGTCTCCATGTAGAATTTATCAAAATTTAATGTCAACTGAATGCCGTGTGCGTTTTATACTTAGGGCTGTCACGAACCAATTTAAGGGTCACGTGTTTGTCGATTTTTAAATTCTGATCAATCATTTGATATAATCAGCATTAGAGCATTAATTTCTCTGGATATATTAGGAAATTCAAATTTGTTCAAATTTGTTGTAAAGTAATTTTATGTCGGGGCACATAGACATCGCAAAAAGAATAACATCGTTAAACTTGTCATATGAAAATTAAGCCTTATCGGTATTAGGATAGCGGCTATTTTGATCTTAAATAAAGGACGAACGTACTTATGTTTGTAGTCACAAAACCCGAATGTTCAATAGTTACAGTTAACCAATTTAAAAGGATAATTAAATTTTCATATGTAAGGTGAACAACCCTGGCGGCTTGGACGAAGGCACGCTAAACAGTCTAATAGCGCAAGCGACCGAAGCATTGACACAACAACAAATAATACAGGTTAAAAAATAAAACATGACCAAAAAGTATCGCTAGTACTAATTTCTGTTGTCTATGGGTTCTCATTCGTTCATGCTGATCGTTCGTTTTCCTTTTTGTTTTTAAAGTATATATATTTTTTAACATTTTATATGTAATAGCAGCGTCGTATTAACAAAATCTATTCATGTCATAATGCTTTTACTAATTTTCGATAAGATCACCTCTCCTTGGCTTGGTACTGTGCCAGCGATGTTTGGTATTCGTTTGGCTGTATGTCTGTGTATCCTGTGCCGGTGAAGAATCTAACATCAAGCTCGGTCCCGTTAAATGTGTGTTTATAACAACAATTTTCATTATAATAAAGTTATCATCTGTTGGGTCTGTTATTAGTATAATTAGTATATAAACGAAGTACAGCTTGCAACATTCATTAACTGTGAAATATTATGAATATATTTATTGATAGTAGTACGGTCAGAACCAAAAAATAAATATTTATGTTTATTTAATTAAAGATTTAAGCCGGTAAAAAAATACTTGAAAAATTCTATGCGTTTCTTCTAATATATATCCTATTTCAATCATTTCTCATCTGCAAATATCATCGTTTTCTTCTTGATTTTATTCATCAGTTGGTTTCATTTATGGTTGCAGGTTTTAAATGATTTTGTGCTTAATTAAAGTTGTGCGACTGGAAAATGAGCTCTAAAACACAGTAAAAAGTGACTAAATTTTATTGCGCTACATCAAAATAGAGAGAGAGAGAGAGCTCCAATTTTAAAGAAATTCAGATATAAATAAAATAATATTTAAAATAAAAAGTCTAAAGCTTAGAAAACACTCGTATGGTATTAAATTGTTATGAGTTCTTTGATATTTTTAAGTCAATATGACTCGAAATTATGCATCAAAGTATTTTATACCCTAATTTTATAGAAATAAAGTATAATTTTGAACGTACAGAATACTGGAGTGATACAGTCGACCCAGAGGGTTATTGTCAGTCAGCCAACACTAGTGAGCACTTCACAGCCGATAACCGTTGTGAAGACTGCCATTGCTCAGGTTCATGCATCATTTGATATTCTTAATTATGCATCCATTAGAATGGTTAAAAAAAAGAGTACTAAAAATATAGTTATCCTGCTCTCGCATGAAGTTGAATGTAAAAGTGCGAGCAGGACAGAGTGCTAAGTGAAAAAGTAGCTTCTAGAACATGTTGCGTCTTTCAGAATGAAGGGTTAAGGTAGAATTTTGCTTTGATTCTCATTAGGCAATAGATGAATTGTAATCTAAGTGTTTTTGATGTTCCTAATTTCCATTGTATAAAATTCGCGTATATCTTGGTTTTGTGCATGAAACGAAAGCTTTTTATTAAATGTGTAGATGAAAGTACTTTTTCTGATTTAAAATCTATGAAGGCATGTCATGTTCCTGAGGGAAAAAAAAGTTAATATGCTTAATTTGTATTCATTTAGATACGGTTTTTATTTACTGGTGATTTTGCTTCTTAGTATTTTAATTATCGAAATCAAACGATTTTGTATCAATTATTTGAAAATTTCGTAAATGAAAAATATTTGATTTTTCTGACGCCTCCCCTAAACTTACAGAACGCCCCTCAAATAACTCCAAGCCAGCAACCGATAATAACGACCCAACCGCAGCCCCACAAGGCTCAAATCGTGAGCCAGCCTCAAGCGCAACAGATAGTTGTGACCCAAAAGCAACCTCCCGCTCTTATTACGTCGACCAGCAACCAGATGATGCAGGGCACCCAGCAACTGATTCAGGGGAACCAGCAATTGCTCCAAGGGGGGCAACAGCTTATATCGGTGTCGAACAACCAGCCCGTCTTGATGAGTGCACCGCTGAAGGCGAACGTCCACAGAGTCGTGCAGCCTCAGAGGAGTCAAGTCGTGAACCAACCGATAGCGACTCCAGCATCCGTTGTGCAGACCGACACCAAGAATACAGTCATTCAGAGCGGGGCGGTAAGTTCTAGAGACAATTAGTTCCTTTTCTAATTTTTATTTATTTATTTTGTTCATTCCATTCAATACAAAGTCAGGCTTACAGTTTGCACCAAAACGCCTAACTCGTTAACATAAAAAACATTATTAAAATTATTAAGTACTATTATTATGCTAAAAATAACATTATTTTGGAAAAAAGTATTCCCCAACTATCAGCAAACGCGTCAGCATCCTGGATTTCGGACAGAAATTTGTTGAACAGCGCGATTGCCCTGGCCTACCTCTACGGCATGTAGCTCTAATGCATGTAGATTCGATCTCACGAAGCATCTTCTGATAAGCGGCTTTCAGCGTCTGTAGACATTATAAAGCGATTGCCCTCCACCTCAATACATGAAGTCGAAGTCTGAATTGTGTTCTGACAAATGTTCGATGCTTTAAAACCGAACGCATAACTGCTTCTTTTTTTTTTAGGGATTTTATGACCTGGTTGGTAACTACGACCTTTAGGTCATGTCTTATAATAATTGATATTCTTATTTTTATGAAAAATGATAATATAGAGTGAAATGAAATGAATATGATTCATTTGAGAGGTTAATCAACTGGGTTAAATTAAACGAAATGAGATGAGATGATATGGGATGAAATATAATCTCAGTAAAATGTCGGTCACTTACGGAGATTTTTTCAGTGGACTTTCTGGAGGATCCCGAGAAGTTACGTCCAGCGGCTTTGTTTCATTTTCCCACATTTGTTCACTTTCACAAATATTAAACAGTTAATAAACCACCGTTATTACACATTTAAACCCGAAGAAACACTAAATAGATAAAATAAAACAAATCACACAACTTTACTCGTCGCGTTCCCGCCAAAAAGTCGCATAACTGCCTCGTTCGAGATAGATGTGTTAGTGGTGTACCCACGCGCGAAGGTACCACCACCCTGCCTATGGCTGCCGCGAAGCAGTAATACTTTCCGGTTTGAAGGAAGGGGCAGCCGTTGTGCTGAAAAATTAGAACTGGTGAGTGGCGGTACTTACTTTGTTGTCTACGGGATCCGGTAAATCATTAGCGTCGGCTGAACTGTTAGTTCGTTCATCCATTTAGAAGCAATAAAAAATAATATAAAGCACGATAATTGCACCGAACTGTGCGGGCCCACAATGCCGCTACTAATTACGCAAACTCGCATTTTTTTGCGGATTCGTGCTTATAGAAAGCCCTTGATCGGTGCGTTTAGTGCGAGTTGTTTAACGATCTCGATAGCGTAAAAGTTAACAATAATTTGTATGGAATTGGAACAGCGCCTCTAGCGGCAAACGTAGGCAAACGTTCCAACTCCATACAAATTTATGTTAACTTTTACGCTATCGAGAACGTTAAGAAACTCACACTAAGCTCACTATATCTAAAAGTAAGTAATATCTCGGTAAACTATGATACGTTAACCATAATTATAGTATATTAGCTGTACCCGTCTGCTTCGCTGGGCATTTAAAATTAGCATTATTATTTCTCACCCCCACAAGGATTGTCATCATTAACGCCCCCGCAACTGGTGTAGGGTATCCAACACTCATATAAATATTAGACTATCCATTAAGTACATGTATTTTGTACATGGATACCAAGTTTCAAGTCAATCGGATGCAGGGTTCAATAGTTATAACGGAACATCCGTAAAAACCAATGTAGATTTATATATTAGTATAGATGTTAGGACAGGGAGAAATAAATTAAATATTATTTTTTTATTTACAGAAAGTCCAGGCACAAGCAATGAGGCAGGTGATCACCCGGCAACCGGTGATGGTTGGCAACACGAAGATCGGCGATAAGGAGCTAGTTGTGACGCAGCCGGTAACTCCCGAGGTATCACGACATTTTAACAGACTTTCAAAAAGAAAGTTTCTCAATTCGTCTCGGTCAGGGGTTCCCAAACTTATTTTGTCTACTGCCCACTTTGAGAATAAATTATTTATAGCAACTCCATTTTTTTCACCTATTTAAAAACCACTACAACGAGAGCTTGTCGGTTTCTGGCAGTCCTCCTAGATAAAATTATAAATCGCCTCCCAAGCCCCTACACAACGCCCCCGTTTTTTTTATGGGTCTCATACCGCCCCCCTTTAGGTCTGCAGCGCCCACAAGAGGGCGTTATCGCCCACTTTGGGAAAGGCTGGTCTAGGTGAACCGATTTTGATAGCTCTTTCTTAAATTGTATTGGCTTGTTCTTCACAAGCGGTCACATTTAAATTTTATCAAAATTCGACTGGTAGTTTTTGAGTTACCCTCAATAATGCATATTTAATCGATTCCAACTATATTGATGGTGTTGTCATTTTGACAAAATATGTTTTAATTTTCTATTTATGTCTTAAAGTAATTATTTATTTCGCATATGAGTTTTCAAAACGAATGTTGGTTAATGAGAAATTTATTTATTAGCTAGCCTATTGGTCCTAACAACAATTATTCCATCATTGTTCCAGTTAGCTCACAATAGCACTTTTCTACTATTTCTTGTCATCTTATCTATTACTTCTATTTTAACAATTGGAACGAAAATATGTACGTGTTTATATGAAGAGCGATCTGAAGTAGTCCATTGCGTCTCGGCACGTGGTATCGGTTGCAATTTGTTTAATTCTTCGCCAATTACTAATTAAATCTAATCAGTCTTCGTGAACAATAAGGTCGATTTTCAAATATCACGAATGTCCGGTCCCAGTTTTCGTTCATTAGCGGTTATCGTAATTTCTAGAAGAGTGTAACGCCGAAACCGCCCAAGTCGACGGCGACTCCGCCCCCCCCGCCGCCGCCGCCGCCGTGTCCGCGCACGCCGCCCTCCACGCACGACCCCGACACACCTTGGATCTGCCACTGGAGTGGATGCGGCAAGTGAGTTAGCTTTTTTTTTAAAAGGGATTTTATGACCTGATAGCTAAGGTCCTTAGGTCAAGTCTTATTTTAATTTATATTTTTATTTTTATGAAAAATGATAATATGGAGCGAAATGAAATGAAGATGATTAATTTAAGATATTAATCAACTGAGATGAAATTAAATGAAATGAGATGAGATGATATGGGATGAAATATAATCTCAGTAAAATGGTGGTCATTTACTGAGACTTTTTCAGTGGACTTTTTGTAGAATCCCGAGAAGTTACGTCTAGCGGCTTTGTTTTGTTTTCTCACACACACACACCTTTACACATTTAAACCTGAAGAAACACTAAATAGACAAAACGAAACAAATCACACAACTTCACTCCTCGCGGTCCCGCCAAAAAGTCAGTGTGCTATCTACCATAGTATTTCCATATCCTCGAAAATATTATACAATAAAATTATAGAGGTAAATGTTAAAACTCCAATTGTTTATACCAATTTTTTAACCGTTGTCTTCTTTAAATATTCACTTTAATTGAAAACTTCGAATTCGTGTAATGAGTGATTCGATCAAACTCAAGTTTATTTCGTCATAGAAAAAATGTAATTAATAAATGTAAATTTTACAATCGATTTTAAAAGTGTTCAATAAATATCGATACGTTTTAAATCGATTTTAATGCAATATTTTCCTGAATTGCGTTTATCTCAGAACGTTCGCGAACGCATCGGAAGTGTTCGTGCACGCGGCGCGGCGGCACTGCCCGGGCGGCGCGGGGGGCGAAGCGCCGTGTCTGTGGCTGGACTGCGACCGCGTGCCGAGGAAGACGTTCGCGCTACTCAACCATCTCACAGACAAGCACTGTACCGTGGCGGTCAGTATATTCATATTCTTACGCACCCGTGGTACCACCACCCTGTCTATTTCTGCCGCGAAGCAGTAATACGTTTCGCTTTGAAGGGAAGCCGTTGTAACTCACGTCTCGAGGTGGGTGGAGGCACTTATGTCGTAAGGGTCTATGGGCTCCGGTAACCATTTAACACCAGATGGGCTGTGTGCTCGTCCATACATCAAAACAATAAATGTAAAGCCCTACCCACACGTTAGTTTGGGTCTAAAACATGTTTGCATGTTGTACTTGAATTTTATTGAATACAAAGAATAATCTAAGCCGAAGAGAAAATATTTCGAGGTGGTAGTCACTTCGTTGTTAGGCTAATATAAGCACATTGACCTCTCCAACAAACTTCCACGCTACGATAGGAGTACCAAAGAGGCATTACGTACTCGCGATTCATTGTCATGCAATTTTCAACTTTATCTTCAGGCGTTGAAGGCGATTTACAACTCGCGTCGTCACACCGCCTCGGACGCGGACGGCAACAAGCCGGTGTCGGTGGGCTACCCTCCCAACGCAGCGCTGGCCGCTCTCAACAAACACGCAGCCGACATGTTCAACCCGAGGGAGCTAATGGTAAGTGTACGTATTCCATTTTTCTATTGCTTAAAAACATTTTTCTATTACTTAAAAAAAACATTTTTCTATTACATAAAAAAAAACATTTTTCTATTACTTAAAAAAACATTTTTCTATTACTTAAACAAAAACATTTTTCTATTTCTTTAAAATTAAAAACATTTTTCTATTACTTAAAAAAAACATTTTCTATTACTTAAAAAAAAAAAAACATTTTTCTATAACTAAATAAAAACATTTGCGTCCCCACATGTCACACATCTGTGGTTATCGGAAAAGGTAGATAATTTTTTTTATTAAAAACCGCCATTTTCCTTGAGATATGAAGCAGTAAGCCGTGAAGCAGTAATGCGTTTCGGTTTGAAGGGTGGGGTAGCCGTTGTAACTATACTGAGACCTTAGAACTTATATCTCAAGGTGGGTGGCGCATTTACAATGTAGATGTCTATGGGCTCCGGTAACCACTTAACACCAGGTGGGCTATGAGTTCGTACACCCACCCAAACAATAAAAAAAAATTATAATTTTTGAAACGATATTCATTCGTTTAGCTAATAACACTTTTAATTCATGTTTTGTGAGCCAGCAATCTCAAATGAAGTCAAGTTGCGTTGTTTCCACGCACGCACCATATTATTTCATTATTTAAATAAACAAAACGCGCATAATATTTAAATAAACAATTGTGTTTATTTAAACGTTTTTTCGTTGTAAGATAGCTTTATACAAAAAAATAAATAAAAAAAAAGTACAGCTTATTTAAAAATGAGACATCTAGCTTTCGAGAATCAAAACATTCGAGAATGTTTACTATAGGAATTAGTTTGATCTGCAAAAGCTTTCTTTGTTTGTCTGTAGTCATTGTAATAAATAGCACGCGCTATTTTCTAATCACGCAAATAGCACTTCATTGATAACGCTACGTTGTAACGAGAAAAAACATATCGATACAATGTTTTTTTTAATTTATTATATTTTATTTTTATTATAAGTAGTCACTTTCGACAAATCAGTACGACACGACTCCGGGGAGTTAGTTGTGTACCTTAATGTTTTATTATAATACGAAAATTGTGAATTATAATAAATATAATAATTTATTAGCAGTTTTTTTTGCAAACAGTCCTTGTAGTGCTAAATGCAAGTGCAAGGTACAGTTTTCGAATAAGTTTCGTTTTAGGTAGGAATTATGTCAGTAATTTTTGGTAGGCAGCGGCTTGGCTCTGCCCCTGGCATTGCTGACGTCCATGAGCGACGGTAACCGCTTATCATCAGGTGGGCCGTATGCTCGTCTGCGCCCAAAGGCAATAAAAAATAATTGTAGAACAAATGGAACACGTCATTATGGTGTCTGAGACTGAAATTTTTAAAAAGGACAAGAAAGCTCGTGGAATTAAATCGAATGAGCTTATTAAATCAATAGTGATGCACCGGGTCTCACATTTTAGGCCACGACCATGCGTAAAATATTATTTTTAATGCTTTCGAAAACGGATGAGTGTAACGGTGATAAGGGCTCAATTTCGTTCGTAGCACGGCTAAATCGCAGCCCAGTTTTAACGGTTAAGAGTATTAATGCAATATCTCAGTTTGCATTTTATATTAATGTGGTTATTGTAGGGCGAAATCTACTTACTGGATTTTTACGTTAACACCAATATTTTTATTTAAAAAAAAAACTTTTAGTAAATAATTTTTTTTTCTACCCAAGCTAATTGTCTTGATAGTCCATTTCAGCGCAACCTTAACTAGTAGGTGAGCTCACGGGGCTCAAACCTGACGACGTTGCTAACACTAACCCTAGCAAGAGCAGTTTTTCGCAGAATCTACTACCAGATAGGAAACGCGACCCACTTAGAAGATCCGGTGAGAAACTCAGTGTGCAAACATCGTCATGACGATCGAAGACATTCATCTTCTTTTAATTAAAAACCATATCTAGTGTGCCAGTGTGAACTAATCTAAAAAATACCGCGATCTTCCCACATACATATATACAATTTCTCAGTTTATATTTCATAGTTAATTCTCAGTTTACATATAGCTTTCTCGTTTCCCGCTCGTATTCTAGTCATCGAAGCGTGCTGCCGCCACTGGCTCATTAGAGAGAGAGAGAGAGAGAGAGAGAGAGAATACACTTTATTGCACACCAAAACACAATTTACATTCAAAAAACAATAAAAAAAAGCAGATACATTTGTACAAAGGCGGTCTTATCGCTAAAAGCGATCTCTTCCACACAACCGTTTAATTTATAGAAATTCTGGAAAATATAAAAAAATATAGCAGGTATATTGCGGTGTACTATAGATAATACATTATAGAAAATATATACATACAATAAACAAAATATATACCGTTTACATATAATATGAAATATATACCAATATTTATATACCAATTATATACCAATATACATACTTACATACAATACATACTAATATACTTACATACACATAATACATCAACAGTATGGAAATAATAAATGATGATGCAAACAAACAGCACTAGTCAATACTAGGCTCATTAGTCAATATTAAATCAATTAACTCGATGATGCTTAAATTAAGATATTAAAAATCGTTCTATAAAGTTCGTCACTAAAATCGTTTACTGTTCTATAATTTTTTTTTCTAAAACGACGGGTAGATGGAGCAATGCAAAGCCGCCGTCTTCCGTAACATGTCTTGTCGGATCCTCCGGATTTACTCTCGCTGCTTTTAGGTCTCTCAAGCACCGGTCACCGTCCTCGTCGATTACGACGAAAAGTTCGATAACTAACCCATAGACACAGCCCATTGAGTTTCTCGCCGGATCTTCGCAGTGGGTCGCGATTCGGATCCGGTGGTAGATTCTGCGAAGCGCTGCTCTTGCTAGGGCTAGTGCTAGCTAATTCTCTCAGGTTGAGCCCGTGAGCTCACCTACCCGTCCGCGCGTAACTTGAATAGCCTCTTGGGCTACCAGTGAATAGGTAAGGAAAAAAGACTGGTAGATTTACGAAGTAGTAATCACGATTTGAGGCACGAGATCGATAGCAGAATCGTATCGTATAAATCGGATCGCGGGTCTGTTCCAACCAATCCGTGCTTGCAATAATCGTTGACGTCATCTATAATTAGCCTCCCCGCGCATTAGGCAGCCAGATGAATATATGGCGTTGTATGGGAGCCCGCGCACATAAGCAGCCCGGAATTCTTGGCTGTTGCAGCCAATACAACGCGTCTGTTGCACGGCAGCCGATTGCAGCCAGAGCGAGTGTTGTCGAATGTATGTGGCTGCTGTCAGTCCCCACGCACTTGCTGTAGCAGCCAATGCATATTCGTTTTGCCAAATGCTAGTTATATGACACAGCATGATTGTACAATCCCTTGTATTTCAAAAAAACCGGTCAGGGTACGTATCAACAGCTTTGAAATAGTTATAGAATAAGCCTTTTGAGTGCCGTTCTAGAAAAAGAGGATGAATCCAGTGTCTTTTCTTTGCGTTTTTTACGAGATAAAGTCCAAATCGCTCGACGAAAGGATCATAAATGGGCCTCGATTTGCTTCTATAACTGACTGCTCAAATATTTCGGTTGCCGAAGCCAGGCTGCCTAGTGCGCGGGGAGCTTACCTCGTCAATCGCAAGTAATGCGCATACTAAGCGTGTACCTCGTGTCTAACTCCCATAAACACAGCCCACTGAGTTTCTCGCCGAATCTTCTCAGTGGGTTGCGTTTCCGATCCCGGGGTAGATTCTGCGAAGCACTGCTCTTGCTAGGGTCAGTGTTAGCAACACTCCGGTTTGAGCCCCGTGAGCACACACGTTAGGGTGAAGCCGAAATAGCCTCTCAAGGCTATCAGCCTAGGTAGGAAAAAAAAGTGTCTAACGTCGTCTAACGTGTCTGTGTTTGTGCGCGCAGCAAAGAGCAGAACTCGGCCGCACCCCGGAGCAATTGGTGAGAAAAAAGCACGTGTTCATCTCGCTTTGGATGCGTTCTATTTTGTTTTTGTTTTGTTTTGTTTGCGTGCTTTACTTTTGTCTTGTTTGTCGGTATTGTTTGTGATTTATGTTGTTTGTACGTTTAAATTTTTTTATTCAAATTGCGTTTTTTTTTCCTTGTTTGCCTCGGAAAGAATTGGTTGGTGATTATTTTGGGTTTGAACGTGTCGTGTACCCACTACATACGTCTAGTTGACGTCTCAGATCTAAACGCAGAATTTTTTCGTGTCAAAAACTTTAATATTCCCTTTTATCGTGATATAAATAAGGAAGTATATATTATTTAAATATGTTGATGCAAACTGTAGCTTGGATTTATTTTTATTGGAGTTCGTATTTTCGTTGCGTCTACACTTGGAGAAAGCGGCACGACATGAGAACCCTCTTGTCGTGGCCGCTGGGAATTACATACCCGATCCTGTAGACCGAATGGTAAATTATCCTCGTCGCCCAAAACACGTCATTACGGATCCTCCCGATCCATAAACGTGCTTTTAGGTACCACAAGCACCGGTCACCGTCCTTGTCGAACCCGTCGCTTGCGACGAAGGCACGACGAGCGAATTAAGCCATAGCCCAGCCCACTGAGTTTCTTGCCGGATCTTCTCAGCGGGTCGCGTTTCCGATCCGGTGGTAGATTCTGCGAAGCACTGCTCTTGCTAGGGTCAGTATTAGCAACACTCCGGTTTGAGTCCCGTGAGCTCACCTACACGCTATGGCGAAGCTGTAATAGCCTCGCTAGGCTGTACATTGGTAGGAAAAAAAAAGTTGTGTCTATGAAATTCTGTCAATAGCACCAGGTGTGCCGGGGGGGGGGAGGGGGTAGCTAGACGAAAGTAAACAGAAATAAGTAATATAGTTTTTAGTGACACCTTTATAACACGAGACTTAAGTATGAAATTCGCTTGCAACTCTGAGCTGTGTACGAAGTTTTGAGTTCTGATTAGGTAGTTAATTTGAAAAAATAAAAAAATAAAAAAAGAAAAGAAACAAAGAAAAATGCCTTTTTTATTTTATTGCTTAGATGGGTGGACGATCTCACAGCCCACCTGGTGTTAAGTGGTTACTGGAGCCCATAGACATCTACGACGTAAATGCGCCACCCAGTATAGTTACAACGGCTGCCCCACCCTTCAAACCGAAACGCATTACTACTTCACGGCAGAAATAGGCAGGGTGGTGGTACCTACCCGAGCGGACTCACAAGAGGTTCTAGCACCAGTAATTCAACCGATGTGTCATACGGATGGAAAACGTTAAAAATCTTTCTATGTGAATTAAAAAAAAACTTCTATATAACGGGCTTCTATATATATCGATTCTGACGCTGACATCGCTACGCACACTTGTATGATACAATATATAATAAATATACTGGGTGCCCCGAAACTCAGTGTCAAGTGGGTATGGGGCGACGAATTACAACCTAATTCGTTACAATAGTTCTGGGAAAAATAAAAACAAAGATCCATTTAACTCGGTTAACTGAATAGCCAATACAAAATCTAGCGGAACTACGCCGCAAAATACCTGAAAGTGCGGAATAAAGAGACTCAAAAAGTTACGCGCGATTCGTTAAAAAAAACTTTTCTGAGGCGATTTTAAAATATCAGTATGTGACTAGTATTTGTTTTTAAGAAATATCGATTTTATTCGGTTTTTAAATGTAATAATATCGATTTGAATTTAACGTAACGTTGTGTAGAAAAGTGAGTTACACGGTTTGTTAATGTTAGGGTTTGTTGTGAGCACGCACGGGTTGATACCACCACCCTGTCCCTAAAATGTCCATAACAGTCTTTAGTTTAGATAAGAAGGGCGGGTTAGTCGTTTATACAACACAAATGAGACCTTCCAGTACGTGTATCGAGGTGGGTGAAGGGACGGGAAGGGATTGTGACGTCCAACTGTCTTTATATTATAACTAGCTGTACCCGTCCGCTTCACTGGGCACTTAAAATTAACATTATTATTTCTCATCCCCACAAAGATTCTCATCATTAACGCCCCCGCAACTGGTGTAGGGAGTCCAACACTCATATAAATATTAGCCTATCCATTAAGTACATGTATTTTCTACATGGATACCAAGTTTCAAGTCAATCGGATGCATGGTTCAGCAGTTATAACGGAACATCCATAAAAACCACTGTAGATTTATACATGTAATAGTATAGATTATTTAAGAGATTGATCTACATGTCGGCTCCATTATCGTGTTCCTTGCTTTGCTAATCTCAAACTTTTGTATCTATTGGTTTTTTATTCGTTCGTGCTTTCATTGAATGCTTTCGAAAAGTTATTACGCAAATCTATAAGTATACAACTATATATTATTATATACATACATGTTGAAGATTCTTAAATGAAACATGTGATAAAAAAACAACAAAAAAAAATAGATTTTTCGTGAAATATGCATGCTCTTATAAGTTGGGAAATTGTATGTAATAGAATGGTGTGAAGATGTTTTTGTTTTTAAAATTTGTCGATGTCATTTTTTGGTTGTTTTTAAATAGTATTGTTAATGTGGAAAGTCCTCGGTAATGTATTTTTGTATTGATCCAGGACGAAAACGAAGGTCCCGTAACGAAGAGCATTAGATTGACGGCCGCCCTCATCCTGAGAAATATCGTCATTTATTCGAATACAGGAAGACGGTGAGTTTTAAATACATTGTTATAATACCAGTACTTTTCATATCCGTGTGCTTAGTGCGAGTTTTTTAACGTTCTCGATAGCGTAAAAGTTAACCCAATTTGTTTGCAGTTGGAACAGCGCCCCTAGCGGCAAACGTACACATACGAGCCCATTCCATACAAATATGAGCTAACTTTTACGCTATCGAAAACGTAAAAAAACTCGCACTAAGCATACTGATCCGGTAGACCGAATGGTAAATAGTCGACGTCACCTTAAACACGTCATTACGGATCCTCCCGATCGATTAACGGTGCTTTTAGGTACCACAAGCACCGGTCGCAAAACTCACCGAACCCGTCGCTTGCGACGAAGGGCTCGACGAGTAAGTTAACCTACAGACACAGCCCACTGAGTTTCTCGCCGGATCTTCTCAGTGGGTCGCGCTTTCGATCCGGTGGTAGATTCTGCGAAGCTCTGCTCCTGCTAGGGCCAGTGTTAGCAATACTCCCGGTTTGAGCCTCGTGAGCTCATCTACTAGTTAAGGTTACGCTTATATAGCCTCTCAAGGCTATCAGCTTAGGTACAAAAAAAAAACCTTATTTATTTACGTTGTTTCAGGCAATTGCGTTCGTACGAATCGCATTTGTCCGCGATCGCGCTCAGCACGGTCGAAGCCTCGCGCACGATCGCCCAAGTACTGTACGACATGAACAACATATGAGAATCGCTTAACGGGCACAAGCCCTGAGCGGACGTGCGAAAAGCAGAGCCGCGTTGAAAAAAAACATTTTCTCTAACGTCATATAAAATCGGCCTTAAGCGTGGCGCAACACGAAATAATAAAAAACTTTTTTTTTCTCTAACGTCACATAAAATTGGCCTTAAGCGTGGCGCAACACGAACTGTCATTTTGTATGTCTAATACATAGATCAGTATTTTATGAAATTTTTAAACGGGTTACGTTCGATTGTGTATGTATGTTTTATTAGTGCGTGAACGAGTGGATCTAGACTTTAAGTATAGTTTTTTTTTTAGTAAAGTAAGGTATAGTGATAATTGTTTTGTATGAAAATGAAACTTGTGCTAGTATAAGTGTGAGAAAAAATAAATAAAGGGAGACTTGTGTTTCATTGACAACTAATTCGAACGAAGTTCCGTTTGCTTTATCTCTTTTGTGTTTGTAATAAATAAAGATTAAAAAAATAAAAAAATAAAGAGATGGAAGTTGGTATTGCAATTTTTTTTTCGAGAATATTAATAAAAAATGTTTATCACTATTTTATTATAAAAATATAAAATATTTTTGCATATTCTTAAATTTGACGGTAGCTGAATCGATATAGAAATGTCTCAGTTACAATATTGTATTCAATACAAATTGTATGTAATATTGTAAACTCCGTTTCAATATAGACGTATTTTTATATTCAAGAGATTAATGTTTGATTCGATTAAAATCGATCAGACAAACAATTGCAATCGTAGTGATTATTACTTTTTAATACATAATCATTTAGTCGATTTCGATTTAAGTGCTTAACGCGGAAGACTTATTACAACAAGAAATGCTGTATCGGACAAGCAACTGGTTTTCGATTATCAAAAACAGTTAACACACAATTCGGGTTAAAAAACTCGTGTAGTCAGAAGAATACCAGAATAGTTCACGGCGACGAAGTTATTAAATGTTAATTTTTTTTAGATATTCCACATAAAACCATGGACACAGTAGTGTGGTAGTGCGATTGAAGTGGTAATAGTGCTCGTAAAATTTAAAACAATATCATTGTTAATGGTTAGCGACTTTACGGGAAAATACGATTATTTTATTAACTAAATTAACGAAATAGCGGTTATTCCAGATATATTAATAATAATCAAGAGATCAGTCACACACACACACACACACACACTGTCGTCTAGCCCCAAACGATTCCCAGTACTATGGGAACCAGAGAGTGATATACAGACTTTGGTATGTTTAAATATGTAGATAATAAACATCCAGACAAAAAAAATTGTTCACCACATTACGGTTTGTCCGATGGCTGAATCGAACCCACGTCCCCGGCCTGGCAGTTAGGGTTCCTAACTACTGCACTGTCGCGTCAGTCTATGTGCTTGCCGCATGTGACGCGGTTTTGTTTTGGGTAATTTTAAATAATGCCCTATGGTTGAATTTCTCACTCATAAGTTGAAGATGGAAAAGAAAATTATTGGCCTATAGTAAGATGTTAAGGACAAAAAAGTGCTCGTGAATGAAGTGGAACTTCTTTTTCGATTTGTAGTATTGTGGTTTTCTTCATTTTTCATCGTTAAATCACAGATTTGTCTTTTAATATGGAATACTGTCTATAAGAGATGCGACATCTTCAGCATTTATACTTGTATTATTTATATTTTAAATTATAGATAGAAAAATAAATTTGTATATATTTTTTAAATACTTTATTAAAATATTGAACGCTACTGGTTGCTAACGATCGCGCTGTAACAGGTATACTACTGTCTCTTTATATTCCATGGTAGCGTTAAACGTTTAACGCAACCTTGTTGGAAGTCGCATTAGAAGTTTCACTTCAAAAACAAACTTGTCACTATCATTATATAATACATTATTCATGTGTAATGTCAAATTTACCTGTCTAAATTTCGCGTTCTCATTTGAAGACTGTGAATGTATCTTAGGTTATATGAATGTATCTCGTAAAGTTTTACACATAAAGATTTAATTTAATTTAATTTTTATTATACAGAGATCTTACTAATCTAGTGTTCAGTGGATTCTGAAATGCTAATCGCTAGAGATTAGCTAGTATTGGAACTGTTTAATTAGCATCAATGAGTACGTGCGAATAATCTAAAAAAGCTATAGTATTTTAAAATTTTGATTTTATAAGTAGCATTGTAAGTTTTAACACAGACTCACAGACTTGATTTTTTTATGTAATCTTACGTTCTACTCTACAGTTTTTGTGTCTAGACTAGAGTGACGTCATAATTTGTGTAAATTAATAGACGGGTTGTATTTGTTTTTTTTTTTTTTTTTTTTTTTAATAAATAAATAAACATAAGTGAAACGTGTTATTGTGTTTTATTTATATCATGTTTTCAGTGTCCATTGCTTAGTTGTTGCATTGAAAGTGTGGGATAAGGGTTGCGGGTTCCCGGATGTTTCCTCTAAACACGTGCCCTGGAACCTATACATGTGCTCAACCACCAGTCTCGATTGTGCAAACCAGAGACTTGAGACCTTTTAGATAATCACTAACATATTATAAGTCTGACGTAAAGTTATTAGTTTAAAAAAAATGAAAATGGTAAGTGAATAAATCGGTGCGCAAGGAATAGTTCCGTACACGGCGTGAATACATTGACAAGTCGAAAATGCCTATTTTTCAGGGCAGCCATTTTTAAGTTTACATATTATTGGTAAATCTATTTTTTTATCCTTTTATACAATTTTTATGCGTATTTAAGTAATTTCATCGGAATTTTCACACAGTGTAAGTATAACAATAAATTAACGTTTTAATCAAGAAAAAAATGACATATCAAGTTGTTCACCGACGACTTGTCAATTTATTCACCTAAGCAATTTATTAAAATCCGAGAAAAGAAATACGATTGTTAACATAAGAGATTTAAAAAAATACATAAATATGTAATAGCCGTTTGATGGTGGTTGGATGGTGAGATGGGATGGGATGTGATGGGATGGTATGGACATGTGAGACCTTAGAACTTATATCTCAAGGTGGGTGGCGCTTTTACGATGTAGATGTCTATGGGCTCCAGTAACCACTTAACACCAGGTGGGCTGTGAGCTCGTCCACTCATCTAACCAATAAAAAAAGTGCTGAGACGAAATGAAAATGAGGTTGGTAAGAGAGTGTTAACTATAAATGTGGAAGGATATAGAGGAAGAGGTAGACCTAAGATGAAATGGATGGATTGCGTGAAAGACAATATGTAAGAGGGGAGTGAGTGAAGAAATGCTATATGATAGAGGAGTATGGAAGGAGAAAACAAGTTGCGCCGACCCCAGGTGACTGGGAGAAGGGCAGGAGAATGATGATGTAATAATAAGTCATTTGAATTGATCAATCTCAAACTAAAACCCAAAACTTGTACTTAATTATATTTTTTATTAATTAAAAGAAACTGAAATTAATCTGTTTCTGGAATTACTATTGTATTATTCTTTACTGTTCTTCTCCGTTTCCCTCTAAATCAGGTTCTTCAGTATCTAAGTTGTGGCATTTTTTGGTGGATCTTTATGTTTTTATAAAAATCGTGAAATGCTGTGTCTATTAAAGGTAATAAATCCACCAAATTCTTCTCTTTTCTCTACTTATTGGCAAGATGTCTTTGGAGACAACTTCTATCTGGACGTTGTCTATATTATATTTGCTCCTATTCTGAAAGTTGATTACCTTAAAAGAGCTTTCACTGTCAAATCTATCTTGAAACGTATTTTTCCAATAGGTTTTTTGTATTGCAGCCATTTTACAGTTTGCCGCAAGAATTTATCTTCGGAACTGTCTTTTTTTTAAATCGTGAATGGCTCTTTTTTCGAACTTAATTTAGGAAATTTTCGCACTTAATTGGTACAACGACATATGCGTTATTAATCTTACAAGATCTTATGAGTTGCACCCAGTCATTAAAATAGGTAGTTAATTTTAAGTCACGTTTTCTGTTTGGTTCTCTCAATCAAGGCATGATACAAATCACACTCCATCTGAATTACAATCCAAGAAACTTGTGATTAATAGTTTCTAGCGTTGGATACACATGAAGTAAATACATGAACATCATTGCACCCGTATTATTTTTGTTTTGGCCTCCACATGTATCTGAATAAAATGTGTCCTGGTTATCTTTTGAAGGCAAATTCTGAAGAAAATGCCACAGACACGACGCGATTTGACGAGCACCGATGGTTTCGTCCTACATGTAACATGTAGCCTTATTAGTTGCTAAATCATGGATTGTGAGATTGTAGGATCATAGCGGTCTTTTATAAAAAGAAACAGAAGTTTTAAAATAAGGGGTGGGTAAGCACTGCTGAAGATCATAATAATATGTATATGTTCGAGTGGATGAGTTGCACTTTGCTTCATCTTTATCCTTTCTTTTTTTCTGAATATTATTATGCTTTTTCATGCCGGTAATAACTTGACAACCAGATATGTATAGTCGCGAACACAATTATGGGTTATGTGAATTATTGATCATCTAAAAGTATTCTGTTAGTTCATTTAATTATGTGGCGTAAATAACTTAACGTGTCGATTTATTTAAATAAATAACATTATTATGTTTAGATATATCTAAATGTCATCATGTTCTCGTTAGAAACAGAGTTGTTTAGTAATTCACAAGTGCGATATCCCAAAAATACGTGAGAGAATCGAGTTGCTCATTTATTCCCCATATAAAACAGGTAATCTGGACGACAATTCTGCTTTAACTTAAAATTTGATATTAGTCGACTTGTCAAGTTATTCACGCCGTGTACGGAGTTAGGCTTGATAGTTACGATAAATCGATAAGAGTTATTCAAAATTCAAATAGAATCGATTGATCGAAAATTGACAGGGAAAACATTAAAATATATCGCAGATACGGTGCGATTACGTCACTCATGCAAATTATCTAATTTTTCAGGAGAAATGTTGGAAAATTCAACATCTTATTGTATAATTCTTGTATAGTTCTGCTAGGCTATAGAAATAAAATGATAATATTTAAACTCCATCAGTAAAAGCAAACATCTCTCTCGTCTCACTAATAATATAACTACCAAAAAATGTATTTTCTCATACTCAATTCAGTGTTAACAAAAATTGCATAAGTGACTTTATAGCACCTTATATGCGATATATATTTAAACACATATTACGAGTATGTATTTTTATCTCTTAGACTGTTCATGTCACTAATGGGTCTACTCGTGTAGTGATGTAGTGATGTTTCTTCCGGTTGGTTTTTTCTTTGTAATAATTCTTTAGCCAATCGCGATCTATCATCATCTTGGTAAAAATTTTGTGTCGTAACAAAGAAATATATGAGTCGACTATTATCAAAGCCGGCAATGTGACTTTTGGACAATTATTGGTAAATCAGAAAAACGAATTATTGACTTTGTATTCCATTGGCAGTCACAAAACTCTTCTGAACGACATCTTAGATAAATAACAGGTTAAGTATTAACCTTTATTTAATACAGGTTTTGAACCGTATTCTTTGAAGGAGACGATTATATTCAAATCAATCTGTATTGACATATCAATAACATTTTTTTGTCCAAATGCATAGATTGCCACCTTTGATAATAGACGACTCATATGAATAAGAACTAGTAAAGAATTACGCTGTTTTAATGTAAACAATTATTTTTGACATTCAAATAACAGTAATAGTGGTTAAACATAAATAGCAGTAAGCTCGTATGCATAAATAACAGTAAGCCCGTATGTGGTTGTTATCCACTCAACAGTCGCGGATTCATGCTTCGGCACGTACCATCGGCGGTTTTTCCGGAAATCAGATGCAAGGAAACTAGCATTCTCAATATTTTTATTGACTTCGAAAGCCGATCAAGTCGACCGCCCTTTTGGTGTTAATGGTTGAATCACTTAGTTACCTAGGCTTTGAAGTCGAATTGCATCAGAATATTTATTGTACCGCTTATATTACTACTGGTGGTAGGACGTCTTGTGAGTCCGTGCGGGTAGGTACCACCACCCTGCCTATTTCTGCCGTTAAGCAGTAATGCGTTGCGGTTTGAAGGGTGGGACAGCCGTTGTACTGTAGTGAGAGACCTGAGACCTTAGAACTTATATCTCAAGGTGGGTGGCAGCATTTACATTGTAGATGTAGGAGAAAAATCAAACGTATTTTTCAGATTTACTGGATGCTTGTGTTTGAAAACTGCGGAAATTGTAAATTGAAGTGTTGGTGGGCATCCACCGTACACGAGATCCATAAGGGCTGCTCCTAAGACTAATCTACACTAATATAATAAATGTGAAAATTTTCCTGTTTTGAGCTACTCAACTATTCAATGGAATGGATGATGACATTTACTAGCCCAGAGAGACAACCCACTGACTTTCTCGCCGGATCTTCTCAGTGGGTCGCAATTACGATGCGGTAGTAGATTCTGCGGTGCACTGCTCTTGCTAGGGCTAGTGTTAGCAATTCTCTCAGGTTG